TGCCCCTCGCCTGTCTTTCCCCCCTTGCCCCTTGGGGAGGGTGAGGAAGGCAGGGGGTGTTGGGGTGAGGCCTCCGGCCCTGACCTTCGGTCTCCCGTCCCCCGCCTTGGGGTGTCTGGTGGGGCCGTTGGTCTTCAGACACAGCAGATGCGCTTGCTTTCGCCTTCCTGGCGTGTTGCCCCGCGAGCGGCCCTCCCCGCGGTGGGGAGGGCTGTGCCGCTGCCACGCCACACGCCCCCGCACGGGTGTGTGAGCGTGCCTTGTTGGACCCTCGGTGGTGCCCCTGGAGTGCTCCAGGTCGTCCCTCAGGTGCCCGAGGCCGAGCGGTGGTGCCGTTTTCCCTTAACCCTGTGTCCTCCTCGGGTCCCCACCACGGTGGTGTGCGTGTGTCCCATGAGTGGCTCTCTCTGGGTGGGAGCGGGTCGAGGCGGTGAGAGAAGCGTTGTGTGCTCCCCTCGTCGCGGAGGCTGACGGATGAGGCCTTGCAGGGGGCGGGGCGCGGGCTCTGCCCGGGCCCTGGCCGCGCACGCGCTCCTGTGCGTGGTCATCTGCTTACCTGTACCGCAGACCCCTCCCGCCCAGTTGAGGACTGGCGGCTCCCGGTGTGCCTCTGTGGGGCCCGAAGGAGAGACGACCGGGTGAGGGACGGCGCGCCCTCGGTGAGAAAGCCTTCTCTAGCGATCTGAGAGGGAGCCTTGGGGTACCGGACCCCCCAGACGCTGCCCCTCCCGAGTGCGCAGTGGCCACCGTGGCGACTGCCAGAGCACGTGGGCAGAAAAGCCCCCCCCCCCTCCCCTCCGTGGGAAGGGGGGGGTGGTGATGGTTGCGCCGGCCCCGCGGTGGGGCCGCGTGCCGCTTGTTGCCTACTGCGGCCTGCGCCTCCCCCCTCCGAGTTGGGGGAGGGTCCCGCTGGGCCCCGCCGGGTGTCTGGCGAGTGGGGGGCGGCCGTGCGTGTGTGCTGTGTGCGCGCGGCCGGCCCCGCGGTGTGAGCCCAGGGGGAAAGGGGGTGGTCGGGGCGCGACGCCCGGTCGGCCCCGGCTCCCCCAGCCCCGCAGCTGTGGTGAGGAGGAGCCTGTCGCGCCCGCCCTCGCCCCCGAGCCACAGCCGGTGGTGGTGTGGTGGGCCCGGTCTGGGCCGCCTCGCTCGAGAGCGTGTCCCCAGGATGTTGAGCCCTCGGGGTCAGACTTGGATGGAAGATGGATCTGTCGTGGATGGACGGACGGACGGACGGATGGAGGAAGGGCTGGCTGGACGGCACGCCGGCCCTGGCGGCGGGGCCGGGGTGTGGGGCCCGCTCCAGGGATTGGCCGGGAACGGCCGGCGTCCCAGGCGTCGCGGGACCGCCCTCGTGCGTGGGTGGCGGTGTGACCCCGCGCTGGTTTTCCTGGTGGCCCGGCTGTGTCCCGGTGTTTCCTGGTCCCCGGGACGGCGCCCTCGCCCCCGTCCCGCAGCCCCTGCTGCGTGTGCTGGCCGGCCCCTCCGCACCGCTGCCGGCCCTCCTCCTCGTCCCGTGCGTGCGGCCGCCTGTGTCCCCTCCCACCCCCGTCCCCCGCGGTCTGGGACCGAGCTGGCCTCGCCTCACGTGGGTGTCGCCTACCGGCCTCTGTCGGCCGGTGGCGTCCCCGGGTGGCGCAGTGCCCTCGGAGCCCTGAGAGGGGGACGGGGCGGGCGGGGGGAAGCCTTTGGCGCACAGCAGGGTTGCGCGTGTGAGGGCTGTGGGGGCCTTGCCGGTACGCGGCGCGAGAGCGTTCTCCCGGGCCGGCTGCGGCTCTGGGTGTAGGTGTGGCGGTGGGCGTGAGGCCCCCGTGAGGGGTGCGCCCCCCCTCCCCCCCGCGGGGGTGGGGTGTGTGGCCGGAGAGGCCAGTCTGTCGTTCTGGGTGTGCCGCGGGACCGCCCCTGTGCTGGGAGGCCTCTGGCGGTGAGATCCCGCGGTGCGCCCTAGCGGCTGACTCGCTTCCCCCGGGTCGTTTCGAGCCCATCCCCCTCGCGGTGGCGCGCGGCCACCCCCGCCTCCACCGCCGGTTCCGTGGCGTTGGTGTCACGTGGCCGCACACCGCCGGTGCCCCTCTCTGTCCGTCCGCCCGTCCGCCCCGGTCCGCTCCCCATCTGCTGCTCCCCGGGGCCGCGCCCTGGCGTGCCTCGCTTCCCCGGGCCTGCCGCGGCCCCGATCCGTTGCCCGCTTTGCCGCCGCCGCCTGTCCGCCGACGTCGTCGCGGGCTGGGCGAGGGGGGAAGCACCCGTGACCCCCTCCCACCGCCCCCACCCCACCCACCCACCAGCACACCCCCCCGCCGCGCCCCCCGCTCCGACGCGCTCTCCCGAGCGCCGGTCGGGTCCCCGGTCCGCCCACCGCGGGCCGGTCGCCGTGTCTTCGCCGCCCGGCATCCCCCGCCCCTCTGGGGCGGGCGGACGGACGGGCTCTTGAGGGCGCGTCGGCCGTTCCCGGTGTGGCCTGGCCCGGGGGCGTCCCCGGCCCGGCTCCCGGGGCCGCCGGGGCGGG